ACAATTTTATTCCGAGTAATAGAATAATTTTCGACTACAATGGAAAATTAGATATTGTTACATATTCAGGGGAACCCTTAATGTATGCAGTAGTTATTGACAATTCCGATAAACCAAAATCATTCTGGGATGAATTACGAGATAGTTATCCGGAGTTTTCGCCAGCAAAAGAAAACCCTGCTAATGATATTTTTGAAACTGATATATGTATTTTATTCCCAATTGCAGAGATTACATATGACGGGCCAATAAATAAAGGCTTTATGTTTAATTTAAATAATGAAGAAGTGAAGGTCTTCATAACAGATAATGTTGAATATGGACACTTTTTTGCTAAAAAACTACTGGCTGGCGGAAAATTGATTCTCAGGAATTTTGCCGATGCCAAACCTGTGCAAATTGAGCATTTAAAATCACATTTGGCATGGGCACTTGATTCATATCATTTACGAATAGAGAATCCATTTGAAGATACAACAATAATCGATTTTCCTATTATTGAGACAACAAATAAAAGCTTTTTAAAAACTCCAAAAGATCTAGCAAAATGGATTAGACGTTTGTATGAAGACAATGTAGCTGAAATAATAACATATGAAGAAATTGTTCCAATATTTACATTTCTAGGAAAAAAAATAAAACATATGTATAATTCCAATGCGTTTATTAATCGGTTGGTTCCAGGAATCTCTAGTAAACATAGAGAAATCTCCATGAAGGACTGGATTGATGATATACCTTTAAGAAATTTACTTACATGGATTAATAACGATAAGCTCCCTATTCAACATGGAATGTTAATAAATCAATTTGGAGTCTCTTTAGCCAAAAATCAAGCATTAACTTTTACACAGGCACCAATTGTCTCCAGAAGAAATAATTATTATTTGCAGCTTATTCAACCTGAAACTCGTTTGGAAGAAACTTTTCTAAGAAATAACATTACTCATAAACTGTATTCAATTCCATTTTTTGAAGATATTTCGACAACACAAATTGACAATTTTTACTTATTTTTAAATAATGAAAAAATCGAAATATCCCTTGATCAATGCGTTGCTCCTTTGCCCGTCTTTAAGAAAGCTGTGGAGGACGCAATTAGAAGTATTCATCCCTATCGGGCGCTTCAAGAAGTGTTTAATAAATTTGGGTATTTTCTGCCAAATTCGGTTGTCTTAGGAAATCAACTTCGCGAAATATTGAAAAAACAAATGAATATTTCAATTCAAGCGCTAACTAAAAAGAAATTTGTGCCATCATCACAAGAAAACGTCGATAAAATACTCGAATCTATAAAGGATCTTGATCTTAATTATTTATTAACACCAAATGGACAAGTCGTAATGATGAACCAAATATTCGATTGGTTTAGTGAATTTGGAAATAATGATGAGAAGTTAAAACTTATTAGGATTGATCAAATCACTCCGTTATATAAGATTTTGAATTATAAATTACAGATTGAAGTAGAAACTATTTTAGAAAACCGATTAGATTCCAGAATCTTATTAACAGGAGTAAAAACATTTTATGTAGATGACAATTCTACAGAGGCATTTATTCGCATTGATTTTGATCATTCAGTCCTGAATAGTAGTTCTTATGATGTTTTTGGTGTTATTCTTGACAATGAAGATGTAAGATCTGCAGTAAATTTTGATTTATTCGATTGTTATGGATTTTCAGCGTTTGTTACTGTTGAAGATAGCACAGCAAAGAATATTAGGGGATGGTTTGTATATTTTCCACTAAATGAAGATTGCAGTACCGTATTTTGAACATTACGTTTTAATAATACTTATTTTTAGGCATATAATCTGGATGGTTATTGGAAAACCTTCTTTGGTGGGAGCTTTCAGTACAAATTATCGAGAAACCAAGACCGTTTTTCATAAAGCACCCGTTGACTTAACGGCATGCAATGATGACATGATTTACATACATTTACCATTTACGTTGACCAAAAATTCAATTATTTTACTTTCTGCATTATATCCACCTTCTAACAATCCTCCAAAGCAGGACTTTAGTTTAATTAGATGGTCCAAAGATATTTTGGAATTAAAGATTACGACACTTAATATAGATCAGACTCGGCTTTCTACGTTTTATCTTAATATTTGCGCTATTTATCCCCGTGAAGAAATGTTCTTTAAGGTCGATTTTGGAGAAAAGATAGTTACATACAATCTATTTGGACACAATCTTGATGATAATAATTATGATCAGTTTATTGATTTTAATTTTTATAAAAATATCTACTTAAACTGTTTGAATGTGGAATTTCCAGTAAGGCTTATCGAATATTTATGCGCCACTAACTTTGGTTATTGGACAATTGCAATT